TGCAGCCTTCTTCCACTTGAACGCGTTTTGCTTTAACTCCTCTGCTTTTGGCCCTACCGTTGCTTCCAATAAGCGCTTCTTCACCTCGTTCTCTGCTCACCAGTTCTTTTAGCCTGCCCATAACCCGTTTAATGCCCCCCATAAACATCCACCAAGAACTTGCATTTGTCACCTGATCACCCCATGCTGGAAATGTCAACATCGGCACTCCCAATGCCACACCCTTCCATCGAAGAATTCCAACCACAGTGTGTCCAAACTGCCACCGAACCATGAACCCACACTTGACTTCCTCTTGTGGCTCCACTGCACAACTTTCCTTCACCCTTCTCTCTCTCTCGTATCCTCCACGAACCCATAGCAGAACGTAGGGCGGAACCCAAACCTTACAGGTGGTTTCATGAACCCACAAAAACGGACCTAGAGTCCAATAATCCATGTGCATTTCCGCACCGTGTTTCTTGCGGCAGACACACGATACTCCCGAAGGAGATGTACACCACAGATGCCTCTGCCCTTGAGTTCAACCACTCCATGCAATCGTCACTCTTCCAAAAATCACCACGGATATCACCTGTGTCTGTTGCTGTTGGGATTTTGAACAAAGGCACCAATGGTCTTATATCCACAAACTCTGAAGATACTTATGTAATCACTTTCTAGTTCGTCGAAACTATCCACCAGCACACAGAATGGCTTGATAGTTCTTAAACGTTCCAGTAATGGACCTTCCCTGAGCTGGATATGGACTAAAAGGATGCAGAAAGTCCGGCCTTCATTGTACTTAAGGACTACAGAAGCAATTGAACATCAGATAAGGATCGGCATGAGAAGGAAAAGGTAGCAGTTTGTGGAAATAACTATAGTAAGCTGTTAAGACAGCAGCAGATTGAACCCATAAGACGGCAGAAGGAATACCATGGTCGGCAGCTACATCACAAACCCATGGAACAAAGGGGTTGTTTATGATGCATGAAATAGGGTGGTTTGCCTCGGCATGCTCCCTGATGACTTGGGAAACATATTGTCTCCCAAAACGCTCAACCTGAGCACTGAAGTCAGTGAGACTTCTCATCTTGGAACCATCAGCATCAACATCCGTCATGCCACCATCTTCAAAGAATCGAACTTTATCAAACCAATCCCGATTTGGAGTTGACTGTTGTCGAGTGATGTTGTTTTAGTTCGCATTTGTTTCCCAGCGATTTCTGTGGTGGAGAAGGTTACAAACAAACCATTAGCAGCAAGGAACTTGGCAAGTCTAAGGAAAGGGTTTATATGACCTTGTCCTGGGTAGGAGACCATGAGCACGTGAATGGTATCTTCGGAGTCCATTTTTCACTCAGTTTTTGTATTTCTTAGTGTATACAGCTGTAGCACCCAGCGATTAAATAGGAGGAAAAAGTGTTCAGGTGGCCTGGTGGCTAACACCCATCTGCAACACGGTGTTAATACACAGGCACCTTATCTAGAGAAGTAAAGTATATTATTTTTTTAGAGAAGTGATACATAAGATACTTTTACTAGGATAGAAGACTAAAATTATCGGTGTAAAGTTTTTAAATATTTTTTTGAAGAAAAAAAATAAATTAAATAAATTAAACAAATATAGACGTGTTTAAATACTTATTTCTTTTTACTTTTTTAATGGACGTTGAAAGGATGTAGAATGGTAAGGGGCAAGAGACATTTACGGTTCATTAAAAAAAAGACTATATAAAAAATAGTTATTTAAAATACACTTTTAAAAAATGTAAAAATAGAAAAAGAATAATATAAAATAAATATATATATTTTTGTTAAAGTATATATATATATATATATATATATCTATATATATAATATATATATATAGATATATATATATATATATTTTAAATTAATTGAGATCCATGTAAAAGTTTCCTTTTCAATATTTTACCCCTATGTCATACAAGGCTATTTTGAATACTAGTACCATAAAGAAGGGTGTTACTCCCTACACCACCACACATTGCTCCTTGTACCACCACACTTTTCTAAATTCCAAAATTATCCTTTATATCATAAAATATTCTACACCCCTCCTTTTCTTCTGAACGCTGTCGACATCGTTGAAGAAAAAAATTCTTCAACGGATGTGGGACCTCCGCCATCTGTTTAGTTTTTTTTTTAAAGTTTTTTAGTTTTTTTTTAAGTTTTTAAATTTAATAATATAATCTTATTTAATTTCTTTTAAAATTATTACTTAACTATTTATACATTCCTTTTACTTTTTATTTAATCCGAATTCTTCTCAATTTCAATTTATATATTATTATTTTAAATAATAATTAAAATACTTTTAAAATTTTATTAAAATGGATCGGATGTACCACATCCTAAAATTTTTTTCTTTTTAAAGTTTTTGTTTTTTTTTTATTATATTTCTTTTAAATTAATATATAAATATTATTTTAATTTTTTTAAAATGATTATTTAATTAATTATAAAGTAAATTTCTTTTTCTTTAATAAATAATATTATTAATTTAATTTATGTATTATTATTTAAATAATAAAATAGTTTTTAAAAATTTATTAAAATGGATGTGGGCAACATTAAGTTTTTTCTTTTTAAATTTTTAGTTTTTAATTTATTATATTTTAAATTAATATATAAATATTATTAAATTAATTTAAAATTATTATTTAATTATTTATGAATTAATTTTATTTTATTTATAAAATATTATTAATTCAATTTAATTTATATATTATTATTGAAATAATAATCAAAATACCTTTTAAAAGTTTTTATTGAAACGGATGTGGCAATCCGTTAACGGATCTCGATCTCGCCACATCCGTTTGAAGATTTTTTTTTTAAGTTTTTAGTTTTTTTTAAAGTTTTTAAATAATATAAAAGATTTTTAATTAATTTAAATTAATTACTTACTTTTTTATGAATTAATTTTTATTTTATTTACTAAACTATAATTAATTAATTAATTTATATATTATTATTTAAATAATATCAAAATATTTTTAAATTTTTTATGAAACGGACGTGGCATCCGTTAACGGATCTCGCCACATCCGTTGAAGATTAATATTATTTTTTTTAAATAAAACAATAAATAACATATTAAAATATGTGAATAGACTGTTTCAACATTCCGTTGAAGGTGACATCGTTTTAGAGAAGGGTAAAATTGGTATGGGGTGGTGTAAGGAGCATTCGGTGGTGGTGGAGGGAGTAACTGCCCATAAAGAATAATTTATAATGTAAGTACAAGTTTAAAACCCGTGAGTACAGCTGTATATTTTTTTAATGTTTTTTTATAATACTTTACTAATTTGAAAATTATTTGAGTTATATTTATTATATTATCAAGAAAGTATTTTATCATTTATTTTATACATTAATATTATTTTCATTTTATTAATAATATTTTTAAGTGATAGTTTACACAGTACAGAAAGTAATTTTAATAAAAATTAAAAGATAATTATTTTTGTAATGTATTAATAAATATAATTAAAATTTTGATATGATTTTGAATATTTAAAAAATTGTTACATCGGAATAGTTTTTAAATGATTTTAATTAATTTCTGTATTTCAGTATTTTTTTAATAAAGTAGCATTACATTGTTTTATATATGATAATAATATAGTGATAAGTATATGTTAGGTGGTTTTTTTAGAAGTGTTTAATGTTTTCTGAAGTAATATCTAGCTGATAAAATTATGTAAGATTTTTAAATATAATTTATTATTAGGGATGAGAAAGGTTAAGCTTGGCGCCAGTCTCTGTGGGTTAATCGGCCAATTCTTTTATTTGAAAAGCTTTGACCCACTCTAGAAACATGTTGAATGAGCTCCTTGTACGAGCAAATGAAAGTCTCATTTTCATTCGAGGTTTTCACATTATGTACTCTATTTTTCAGTTTTCCGTAACTCTTATCTTCATATTCACTAATATCAGTATCCTATCCGTAACTCTTATATTCATATTTACTAACGTGATTAGTTCGTTTTAAATATATACATACCAAATAAAATAGTAACTTTATTATCTAAAAATTATTAAAAAAAGTTATTAATGTACCATGCTCCCTGACCGAATTATTTCAACTTTCTATGTTTAACTAGTCAGGGGACACAATATATTGTTTACCACCAAATTATCTTACCGACTTGAAAATATAATACACATGTTTTAGAAGATGACACAAAATTTTTTATGTAAAAAAAACTAATAATATTAGTCATAACTGACTAAATCTCATAATTTCTAAACTGAGAGTAGAACGCATTTTGGAAGAAAAAGAAAAACCAAAATTGCATAAAAATATAGAAAAAAAAACATATTTAATTCTAAGTTTTTCTAAAATAAATAGTGAGGATGAGTTTCATATTCATTGGGAGGCGTCGTGCTTTTTTAAGGAGGACATATTAGGAAGGAAGAACCAATATTATTTCAACTAATTATTTTGTATAATTTAAGTTTAAAACTGTCATATTACAAGACGTTTTTTTCAATAGCTTTCATTTTAATTTCATTTAAGGACTTAAGGTAATCAAATATAAATTATTTTATGTGACAAAAAAATAATTGTATAATAAGTGTAGACAAAATTAAGGTATATGTGAATAATTACTCACTTTTTTAATTGTGATTATTTCTTTTTTCAAAAGAAAAGTGTAAGTTCCAAGGGTTTATCTTTTGATTCGTACCATCTAATTGTTTGAAACTGTATTAAATAAATTAAATGGATGACGTTGTGTATAAGAAAAGTACGCATTGCTGTGAGAAATTACTGAAGCTAAAAATTAGAGGACAAAAAGTAAAATTAAAATTTTGTAACTGAAGAAAATTACAATGACAAAGAAACCATATTATCATAGTATTGGCCTAATAATGAAGATTAGAGAATAACATTAAAACTTGAATTATGCAAACTAAGTCTTGAATATGTGAAACTAATCCAACTACAAAAGTGAAGCAAACGGAGCATGGAAATAAGCAAGATTTGGTTATTTTTGTGCTCGGAAATGCCTCAGCAGATTAGGAACAAATGGTGCGAAGCAGCCAGACATTATACATAGCCATGCTAACATGTAGGAAATCCTGTCATCGCTTGGTACAAGGTGAAGCATGGATCCACTGTAGTTGAATGACATGCAAAATGACATCAAAGACAAAAGATATTCCCCAGGAAAGCCAGACGTTACCCAAATGATCATATAAAAAGAGGTATAATATGCAATGCTGTTGCCCAGAATAAAAAACAAAAATGTTCCTTTTGATTTTGTAGCCACGATGGATTTTCCAGCACCGTATTGGTGTGTGTCTTCCTGCCACACTCCTCCAGGGGGACTAAGCACAGCCTGATAGGTTGCTGTCATCATAAGTGCAGCTACGGTTACCAGTATAGTACGCACATCATTTGTAGAATCCCTGTTAGGTTTGTATGCAAATAACTCCTCAAAAGTTCTTTTAGGTAGATTTGATTCTTCATCAGTGCAGTTCCTTGGAGGAACATGGGTTCCATGAACGATCTCCACTTCCAAGGGTTGCCCTATTCTACCAGCTTTATTCTCATTCTCATTCTCATTGTCCTTTCCACTCTTAGCTCCTGCTTTCACAAGGCTTCTGTAAATTTCTAAATCACCGGCTTCGCTTTGGAATACCGTAAGAACATCAAGAGGGGTCATTCCTCTCTCGTTCACCGGATTCACCACCATCACTTCTTTCGCAACATCATCCTCAACCAACAACAGATCAACTATCTGCGCTCCAAATTCTACTAATTATATATGCTCTAACATCATCCAATATCAATTATGCTAATGATTCAGATTATTATTTTATTCAGAATTCTGGCATCAAAGTAATATTACTATAAATTTTTATGCTTTATTCTTTATGTAAATGATCTTAAATCTCTTGAATCAGATACCTGGTATTGCTTCCTTGACGCAGCGAGATGCAAGACAGTATTTGCTTGGTTGTCTTTGTCATTCAACACTTCTCCTTCTATCTTCCATCCCTTTGCGTGTTCCAACAGCAACTTAACAGCATCAAAGTGGTTGTTTTTTACCGCAATATGAAGCGGAGTTTCCCCTCTGGCCGTTTTGCTTTGAACAGTGAGTGGAGCAGCAGAGAGCAACGCCGTCATAACATGGATCCTTCCTTTGACAGAGGCACAGTGGAGAGGAAGGGTTCCCTCCNCTACGGTTACCAGTATAGTACGCACATCATTTGTAGAATCCCTGTTAGGTTTGTATGCAAATAACTCCTCAAAAGTTCTTTTAGGTAGATTTGATTCTTCATCAGTGCAGTTCCTTGGAGGAACATGGGTTCCATGAACGATCTCCACTTCCAAGGGTTGCCCTATTCTACCAGCTTTATTCTCATTCTCATTCTCATTGTCCTTTCCACTCTTAGCTCCTGCTTTCACAAGGCTTCTGTAAATTTCTAAATCACCGGCTTCGCTTTGGAATACCGTAAGAACATCAAGAGGGGTCATTCCTCTCTCGTTCACCGGATTCACCACCATCACTTCTTTCGCAACATCATCCTCAACCAACAACAGATCAACTATCTGCGCTCCAAATTCTACTAATTATATATGCTCTAACATCATCCAATATCAATTATGCTAATGATTCAGATTATTATTTTATTCAGAATTCTGGCATCAAAGTAATATTACTATAAATTTTTATGCTTTATTCTTTATGTAAATGATCTTAAATCTCTTGAATCAGATACCTGGTATTGCTTCCTTGACGCAGCGAGATGCAAGACAGTATTTGCTTGGTTGTCTTTGTCATTCAACACTTCTCCTTCTATCTTCCATCCCTTTGCGTGTTCCAACAGCAACTTAACAGCATCAAAGTGGTTGTTTTTTACCGCAATATGAAGCGGAGTTTCCCCTCTGGCCGTTTTGCTTTGAACAGTGAGTGGAGCAGCAGAGAGCAACGCCGTCATAACATGGATCCTTCCTTTGACAGAGGCACAGTGGAGAGGAAGGGTTCCCTCCCTCCCCTGAATGTGACACAGTTGATGGTCAACTTTGAGAAGCTCAAGCACGACCTGAACATGGCCATTGGCAGAGGCCAGGTGCATGGGAGTATACCCATCTTGGTTGACTTCATACACAAATTGCTTCTTCAGTTCCAACATTTTTTGTACGAAAGAAACGTGACCACACATTGATGCAATGTGTAGAGGAGTTTGAGCTCCAAGCAAGGCAATACTATCCAGCACCAATATGTCTTCTCTCATCAACCTTTCAAGTTCGTCAACGTTTCCTGTCTCTGCAGCTTTAGTCATTCTCCCATCCATTTCCTTGCAGAAACTTTTCCAGCACCACCAAACAATGCCTCTGCTTCAATCATAATAAAATTTTCACAACATTCACAATCATTCCATTCTTTAAAATTATAAAACTCCTTTTTCTTAATTAAGTTTACATTCTGGGAATGTGTTGTTTACATATAAGTTATATAAAACTTTAATGTAATTAGAGGTGGTTGAAAGTAGTATATTTTATCAACCGTGGTTACAATAGATACAAAAAGTATCTTACTTATTAAGAGAGATACAGTGTGTATACTTTTCATATTATATCGTCTACATAGTTACGGATAAAAAAGTCCACATAATAATTCATGTAAAAATCCTATACTTTCTAAACTCAAAATTAAACTCGATTTTAATGTAAACTTGATAATAAGGAGTAGAATTAAGGCTGGGCATAATTAATGTAATTGTAATGAACTTTAATTTTATCTATTATTTTTTATACTATAAAAACTAAACTATTTGTATTAAAAACTAAATTATATTATTTTCTACTTTAGTTTAGAGATACTGAACCTTTGCATTTGTAGTTCTATTAACTACATAAACTGACTATCTAATTTTCATCTTGTATTCCATTTTTCCTGTTTTACTTTCTTAATAGTTATTGGTTCCAAATCATTTAGGTTTTTAACATATGACAATATAAATTGTTTAATATTGATTATTTAATCATTATCCATTATTTATTATTTAATCTCATAATTATTATTTTTATTTTATTAAAAAATAAAAATTGACATGAAATTATTCTTGACCATAAATATTTTGAATGTCTTGTGTTATATATATATATATCTTTCAAATTATTTAAAAAATTAGTTTTATGGTTAAATTAAATTATATATCTAATTTATGATATAAAAGAAAATGAAAAGTTGTTAGACAAATATAATTTAAAGGTAAAAGGTAAAATATATTTTATATTTTGTAAGAATAATTTATCATTAAACTAAATATGTTTCTGCTTTGAGAACTAGGCACAAGTTTTGAAGAAAAAGAATTAGAGAAAAGAATAAAAACATAAAGGAAAAACAAAAATAAATACAATTTATTAGAACTATATGTATATTTTAATTATTTTTTATAGAAAATATTATAAAGTTATTTAATTTTATTTATTTCATAAGGTTTGAAATAAATCTAAATTATTTTTCTAAAGTTTAAGAGTAAACTTTTAAGTAAAACAAACTTTTAATAATTAGATCTATTCTTGAAATTATATTAACTTCCGATAAATAATTTCGGTTAATCTGAATTTTTTAATAGATAATAGTAAAAATTATATTCTGCACTATGATAATAATAATATTTTATATGACTTGTATAAAGTCTAAAAATATATAATTTATCTTAATCACAAAAATAAAGAACAATATTTAAAATCCAAAATAAAACATGTGTTGTAAAGATTATGTGAAAAATTTGAACGGAAAAACAAGAGTATTGTAAAATTGACTTACATGGATTGTCTTGAAAAGATTTCGTTATTAATTAATTAGTATAAGTTCAATTTTTTAAAATTAACTCTTAAACAATACAATTTATATATAATATTAAGTAGTTAAGTTTTTTGTTAGTTTACTGAAAATATAATTTAGTTACTTATCCCCAATCTTAGATAGAACGGTGAACTTGTCAAACTCGCAATTTTGCAACTAGGTTGAGTTAGAAAAAAATTTATAAAATCCAAAAGAACATGGGAGAGTGAAGAAAATTTACTGATAAGGAGATTAGGATTCCACTCTTGTTCTTCTGCTGCCCCGCAGTGGCTCGTTGGGTGGAGAAAAGTGGTGGGAGAGGTGGGATTTAAATTGCTCTGCTGGGAGTACAAGATGGGTTGAGTGGACTAAGGAAGGAGACCGCGTAAGTGGTTGGAGGGTGAGATTGTAAGTCCTCCATTAACTTGTTTCATTTCTGATGTACGAAAAAATCATATTATTTTTTTAAATATATTTTTTATTAACTTTTATGGTCGTTGTGGGATGATAAGAAAAAGAATTTTATGGTCGTTGGCAGCTTCTTGATGTCACGATAAAAGATGTTTCAAAATCATTTTAATGCGGAAAAAGTGTGTTAATTAAAAATTTTGATATTTTAAACATGTTGAATTAAAACAAATCTTAATTTTAATAAAAATATAATCTAATTACAAAATTCTGACATTACTAAAATAAACCATGAAATAAAATTAATTCATTTATAGTATTTCTAAAATGCATGATTCAAAACATATACCCGCGAAGGTAGCGGATGGGTTTCGGGTAAAATTTTCATTTTGCGAATCAAGTTGCGAGTAAGCATCATTCGTATCTGACTCAATCTGTTGTCATTCATACTATAGAGTATCTGCAACATTTATTGATACTGAATAACTAAGGATCATACGATTATCGCAATACACACAATCACAAATACAAACAAATATGGATAAGCTACCATAACATAATCAATAACAATATAACATGTACATAGCAAGTAAATACAACTTAATGCTTCACTTACTCACATAATCATTTCTACACTCATCATCAACATCTTCATTAATTATATCATGACTATACCATCAACATTATTCTTATCAACATAGTCTCTAAATACATCGTCACTATGAATCATCATCACTAATACCTCTATCAAGATTATCCCATCACAAATATCACCATGAGCCTCCACAATACCATAAATCTCACAGTGAAAAAAATCAGTCACACTCTTGTACCCTATCTCAAGCATCTGTAGTCTTTCCTACAAGTCCCATGTAGCCTCCCCTACAGGTCTGTTCGAGCAGTCCTGTCATCCAACTAAGAAACATGTTTCCTGTCACACCAAAACAAGACAAACACCACCACTCCATACAAAGAAGGTTCAATACCCGAACACTCCTTGCTTTTCACACACAAGGTCAAAGGGAGTTGTTATCCCCGTATTAAACGGCTGATAGTCTTAAGATTTATTAAGTACAACAAGAAAACATATCCCTTGCTCATCATTCACATACTCAAATGTATTCAAAAAAACTCTCATATTCCAACATCAATTAAACGTCTATCCTGATCCTAAATATAAAAACTATTCTCATTTCTTACTTAACATCATTCAGACGTCAACCTTACAGTCTCATACATATTCCAATGTAAGTTCAATATGAACCCCTTGTGGGTTTCACTCAACTAATACATCACAAAAATATCATCCAATATCAAACCAAAATAATAAAACATATTGATTTTAAAATTACCATTATACATATCGGACACCATATTTACATAAATAACACGCTTTTTATTTTAGTTTAGAGTTCCATTTCTCGAAAATGGAATTCTGACCTTATTTTTTTGAAATTATGATTAAAATACGAGTTAGAATGTGATTCTTCGATAACTGAATTCCAAAATAGATTTTATTTTTATTTTTATTTTTTATTTTATTAAAATAAAAAGAGAAGGAAAAATGAAGAAATTATAAGTGTTATAATGGGTAATGAATTATTGTTTTTATAGTTATTAAGTTTGTGATATTTAATTTTAGAAGATTTATTTTATTAAAATATGTGATGTTACAAATAAGATTAACATAGTTTTTGACATTGTTTTATCTTATGAACTATAATATAATGATGTTATTTTTTTCAAAATATTAAAAGATGTTTTTCATTGATGTTATGTTTTCCAGAACCTATTCTGTATATCACTGTTTTATTATTTACTTTCAGTCACTTTACATACCATCGCCCTCGTCGTCGTCTGCTGCAGGTTGGGAGTACAAACTGGGTTGGATGGAGAAAGGAAACCACTTGGGTAAGTGATGGGAGAGGTGGGATTTAAATTGCTCTGCTGGGAGTACAAGCTGGGTTTGAGTGGACTATGGAAGAAGACCACGTAAGTGGTGGGAGGGTCAGATTGTAATTGTCCTCCATGACAAAATTCTGTCACTTTTTTCTCTCTCTCTCTCTCTGTTTCTTTACGCGTTTCTCAGACTCATCTCTTTTCTCTCTTCTCTACTTTAAATCCTGGATAAAACAAAATATGTCACACTACACTTTTTTTTTTTCGTCTGAAACTAGATCTTTATATTAATAATATCATTATAAAAGCTATTGTATGAAGGTTTCTCATAATTTTTTAATTATTTGTTCATAGTGCATTTTAGAGTATAATTTATTATTTTAGATATTAAGTAAATGTAATAAAAAGTTTGATATCATTAATAATTTAATGTGAAAAGAAATTAATTAATAAATAAAAATATTAAAAGTATAAATAATTAAATGTATGTCCAAAATCTATTTTCAATTTGATATTTTTTAAATTTAAACATTTTTAATTACATAACTATTTAAAAAATAAATAACAACTATTTACAATTAAATTATAAAAATTATTTATATTTAATTTGATAGTAATAATAATAATTTTATTTTTTTAATTATCATAAAAAATTCAACAGTAATAAATGTGTTTTCACAAATAAATAATAATAGAGATTCAAATTTAAAATATCTCCATGTTATATTATTTTAATTAGATATATACTTATAAATCTAAATATATATATATATATATATATATATATATATATATAAATATAAAGTGAATTTATTTTGAAAATAATCACGTAAAGTGAGAGACTTTTTGATTGATTTATGAAAAGTATATAAAAATAGGGCAATGTTTGTTGCTTTAAGGCTTATTGTAGGTGAAGTATATGAGAAAGAGAAAAAATGAAAATAATTAAATCTCTATATATATTTATTTATTTTTATTTATAACTTTCACAATTAAACTACGATTATGCACTATTACATCAGCAGACAAATCAGAAAGCAATTTTGTTATGACGACAACACGCAGTCTCACACAAAAAAGGAGGCAAAATAGATTTTTACAGCTTTTCAAATTTTGGTTATGGAGAATTTTAATTTTAAAAAGGTTTAAACCCTCCCTTGGTCCTCAAGTTTGTATGGAAATCTCAGTTTGGTCATCATCTTTTTTTCTGTCTCAATTGGGTCATATTTTTTGTAAAAATGAGCACATTGTACCATAACCGTTAAGTGGTGTGAGACGGAGTTAAATTGGTGTGAGCT